TTGAGCCTTCTGAAATCTGACCTTGGGCAAGGTCATTCCTATATTTGGACTTTATTCTTGTCATCTGTGGAAAGAGGTGGTTGGAGTAAACGATTTTCACTGTTATTTTAACTTTTATCTGAAGTCTCAACTCTTCAATATTTCAGGTTTACTAGAGTTTCACAGTAGATTAGGGTCTGGAATTTTTTTTTTTTTTTGCATATAAAATGGGAGTTGAAGAGGGGTTCTTTGTCCTTTTTCTGTCCACTGACTTCCTTTCTGTGCCACATTCCTCACCTCAGACATATCAGGACTTTCAAACAAATTTACTCAACCTCTTTTGCAGAAATATAGAATTGGTCCTTTTCCATTATCAGTCGCCAGGGGCCCTTTCTAAGTAACAAGCTACYGTAGCAAACACATTACACTGGCATGCCTCTGAAGAAATTTGTGTGTTGCATGTTGACCTTTTAATGGAAAAGAGATGGATGTTTTCTTTTGAATAACACAGGTAAATTATTGGGCCATTACTGTGAAATATTTTGGCCTATTTTAAGAGAAATATACATCTGAGAGATAATATTTATCTGCATTATTGAAAGAAACTGAAAGAATTGAGATTTTAAAATAATAATTATCTGTTGACAGACATTTTTATTACAACTATATAAGATATTTATGACTTGCTCTGTGTACATCTGTTAAATCCAACTTTGTCCCCAGATGGAACTACAATCTATAAATATAAAACTTTACATGTTCAAGCTGAAATTTTGCTTAAATCTGATCTGGATCACATGTTGCTATGTCACTCAGCTATTTTCTGAGTGCTTTCCCACTTTTGAACACTTAAAGGACACAACGAATTGAGCTAGGCATCTCTGTGGTGCTAGAATCAGGGAGATCTTTTGAGAGCTGTAAGTTTAAGAGAACAACAAGTTCTCATAAAAAGAGTGTGGTAAAAATTTTCAGTTTTCATATTCTGTCATTGGAAGCTTCTTATGAAGAAAAAAATGAAATATAGACAGGTAATTTTAAACACTATTTGCCAAAGTTAATTATTTTCATGTTGTTGGGCACAGTGGTGCACACCTGTAATCTCAGCAGCTTGGGAGTCTCAGGCAGGAAGATTGCAGTTCAAAGCCATCCTCAGCAACAGCAAGGCACTAAGCAACTCAGTGAGACCCTATCTCTAAAGAAAATACAAAAAAAGGGCTGGGGATGTGGCTCAGTGGTTGAGTACCCCTGAGTTCAATCCCTGGGACCAAAACAAACAAACAGAAAAATTATATATAAATTACAGGATTATATATGTAATGTTTTTAATCTTTAAAAATTAAATTAATATTTCATTATAAAATAATAAAGTAACTGGTGGTCACAATAATAAGACTAAATTAGTAAGTAAAGATTGCTTTATGAACAGCATTCTTTGTTTTAAAAGTAGGTTTTATTAATACATTTTTGTAAGAAGTTTTTTAAAAATAACTAAACTACTGGTATTCAAAGATAAATTATTTCATTTAGAACACTTTATTTCACCAGTAATTCAAGAAGGTGCACTGATACTGTGTATTTCTTTTAGACCTCAGACTTACGTGGATCATATGGATGGATCTTATTCACTTTCTGCCTTGCCATTTAGTCAGATGAGTGAGCTTYTGACTAGAGCTGAGGAAAGGGTCTTAGTCAGACCACATGAACCACCTCCGCCTCCACCCATGCATGGAACAGGAGATGCAAAACCCATACCCACCTGTATCAGTTCTGCTACAGGTTTGATAGAAAATCGCCCTCAGTCACCAGCCACAGGCAGAACACCTGTGTTTGTGAGCCCCACTCCCCCACCTCCTCCACCACCTCTTCCATCTGCCTTGTCAACTTCTTCATTAAGAGCTTCAATGACTTCCACTCCTCCCCCTCCAGTACCTCCCCCACCTCCACCTCCAACCACTGCTTTGCAAGCTCCAGCTGTACCACCACCTCCAGCTCCTCTTCAGATTGCCCCTGGAGTTCTTCACCCAGCTCCTCCTCCAATTGCACCTCCTCTAGTACAACCCTCTCCACCAGTAGCTAGAGCTGCCCCAGTATGTGAGACTGTACCAGTTCATCCACTCCCACAAGGTGAAGTCCAGGGGCTGCCTCCACCCCCACCACCGCCTCCTCTGCCTCCACCTGGCATTCGACCATCATCACCTGTCACAGTTGCAGCTCTTGCTCATCCTCCCTCTGGGCTACATCCAACACCATCTACTGCCCCAGGTCCCCATGTTCCATTAATGCCTCCATCTCCTCCATCACAAGTTATACCTGCTTCTGAGCCAAAGCGTCATCCATCAACCCTACCKGTAATCAGTGACGCAAGGAGTGTACTACTGGAAGCAATACGAAAAGGTAATTTTCTCAGGACCATGAAAAGCATTGTGATAGCATTGAAAATTTTCTAAATATTTAAGACAACAATGCAGTCCTCATTTATAAAATTTTAGATGATTTTGTTTTTGTACAAAAGTAAAGGCATGTCCAACTTATATTTTAAATTATTCTTAAGAAAATACAAAACATTTAATCATTTTATTTTCATACTTAGGGATTCTTAAAATGTTTATTGAGTTAATGAGAAACTTAAAACATCAGATGTAAATATTATAGAAAATTTAAATTCTCTATGTTTAGTGTGTAATTATAAAATGTTTTTTTTTCTTCAGTGTCAAAGCTTTTCATTTGGGATAGCATTGACATTTGATCTTCTAGATGCCTGTAAAGCTAAGTAAGGGTTAAGGTTCTTCCCTTAGTTACCAAGAAAGACTTCTTGRTAAGATGGTTATTCATTTATTCATTTAGCATTTCTTTTTTTTTCCCCCAGTTAGCATTTCTTAAGCAGCTATTATATGCCAGGAATCAGAAGTATAAAATGAATAATAGTGCTTTTCCTTCAAGTACAGAGGATAATAAAGTGACAGAAAATATATTCAACGGTGTATAATTTATCTGACTATAATGATAATAGAAGAAATGTATTATCTGGTTAACTTTTTAAAGGATAGTAAACAGGAGGTATAGTAGACCATGATAGATAAATATAAACTGTAGATATCCATTGGGTAAGTTTTACTAATTAACTCATAAATGATGATGTAATGAAAGATTTAATGCCTCTGATTATAATTACTTCAAATTATTTTTAATCAGTCTTGCTTATTTTCCTATTAGTATTTCTCATATTTATTTGATCTTATGCCAGAAATAATACTATCTAGTGTTTAGCATTTTGATTTAAAATGAATGGTTTGGATTTACTATATCAGGTATTCAACTACGCAAAGTAGAAGAGCAGCGTGAACAGGAAGCTAAGCATGAACGCATTGAAAATGATGTTGCCACCATCCTGTCTCGCCGTATTGCTGTGGAATATAGTGATTCAGAAGATGATTCAGAATTTGATGAAGTAGATTGGTTGGAATAAGAAAAGTGCATTGATAAATATTACAAAACTGAATGCAAATGTCCTTTGTGGTGCTTGTTCTTTGAAAATGTTTGGTCATTCTAGTGTTTTGCTTTCTATTCCTTATAATAAATAACCCTTTTCCTCCATAATTTTTGATTTTGAAGAAAAGTATTAGCATACATTTCAAACTAAATGTTTTACAGTGGCTTATATTTTTTTTTCCCTGAAAAGACATAATTCGGTCCAACAAACCACTAAGTATTAAGCATGGACAGCTGTTGTTAGAGTAGCAGATTCAGTTTTTTGATATATCTTAATTGTGCACTTCGTGAATTTTAATTTAAAGAAAGCGAATGAGATTGAAATCTTGAGGGCAGCTGTAATATTAATGAGCCTTATTCTACTTCCTGATGTTTTAAAAGAAGAAACACTGCCTTGATATATGAATACACTCAGAAAGTACATTTAGCTTGTAGTGTTGAATTCTCTTAAAGGAATGCTTAAATTTTTTATTATTATTTTATTGTTTTAAATACTTGCCTTATTTGAATGTTTAGCAGTACTCCTTTCCCACTTATATATTGTGTGATACAATTTTGCTTGCCTATAGGAGTTTAAAAATTTTCCATGTGAAATACTCTGAATTAAACATACATGTAACTTACATAACTGTTAGAARTAACAGTCTGATTTAATAAATGGTTCATTTTAAAGGTTCCTGGGTGTTGCTCTTTGAATAAAACTGTTTCTGATCACTTATCGAATACTCCAAAGTAGCTTTAAATACTACAAAGCTGGACATGATGGCAACATACCTAAAATCCCAGCAGTTGAGGAGACCAAAGCGAAATTTGAGGCCAATCTTAGCAACTTAGCAAGACCCTGCCTCAAAATAAAACTTTTWAAAAGCTAGGGATTTATGTTAGTGGTAGAATGCCCCTGGATTCAATCCCCTTTATTAATAAATAAATAGTAAATGAAAATTTAAAATCAATTTCAGCARTATAATTTTCTCTTAGTTGTACATATTCATATTGTTTAATATGGTAGCTTTTATGTCATTTTTTTTCAAAGGTTAAAAAATTTATATTTTCCACTCCTTGAGATCTTAAATTAAAACTGAWTTTGCCATCTAATTTCAGCATATCCTGTCTTCATTTTAACTGCATTCTTGATGTTATAATTTACAATGATAATGAGTTATTAATGTTTAAACAAGCAGATTTAGGGTTCAAGGGGAAGCAGCATTATTATTAGATTACCTAGTTTGAAAAGACTAAATGAGGTTTGAGTAAGTTGATTTTAAAGGCGACTTCAGTATTCCACCTTTGCCTGTATCTACCACTTTTGCAATGCAGAAATCTAATTCTTCCCAACAAGAGGTGAGTACAGGATGGGGTTGTAGCTCAGTGGTAGAGCACTTGCCTAGCACATGTGAGGCACTGGATTTGATCCTCAGCACCACAGAAAAATAAATAAATAAGATATCATGTCTATTTGCAACTAAAAATTTTTTTTAAAAAAAAAGTTGAGTATTGTTCCCACTCCCTTAAATCTAGGTATCCCTAAATTTTGCATTAGCATGTGGCAAAATTGATATTATGCCAATACTAAACCTAGGCCTGAAGAGACCTTCCAAGCTTCACTTACTCTCTTCTCTGATCTCTTTGTCTGCCCTGAGAATAAGCCCAGGCTCCCCTGCTGAATATCAGAAACCTCATGGAAGAGAATTGTACCAGGTAAAACCAGCCAAGCCCAAGCTTTCCTGCTGACTGACTATAGAGGTGASCAAGCCCAGCCAAGACAAGCCTAGCCTAGCCTAGCCACTGACCCATCAACTCATGTACAAAAATAAAGGCTTATTTTCTTACACCTGAGTTTTGAGGTGAGTTATTTCATGCAAGATTATTGTGACAATAAATAGTTGAGCTGGATACAGTGCTGCATGCCTATAATCCCAATGTCTCAGGAGGCTGAGGCAGGAAGATCACAAGTTCAAGCCAGCCTCAGCAACTTACTAAGGCCCCAAGCAACTTAGCAAAACCTTTTTTAAAAATTAGATTTAATAAAAGGACGAGGGATTTGGCTCAGTGATTAAGYACCCCTGGGTTCAGTCCCTAGTACCAAATAAATAAATAAATATTTGTTACATGGTCAACATTATCACTTGGTTATTTAGAGAAAAAAAAAACACTAATGACCTATAATCTTTATAGAACAGAAATAATGAACCAAATTCAAATGTAACRATTCAATTTGGATATAAAAAACATGTCTTGATGGCTTCAATAAACAGGATTTGACTTGTTCTTTTGGGTAGCTTAGCTTACACCAAGAGCCTAGATAGTCAGTCAAGGTTTGTTTCCAGCTTTACAAAAATGCAGTTCAAATTTAACCATAGAAAATATGACACAATTTAAAGTCTGTCTTCCTAAGTGTGCCCATGGTTAAGAACTAAAAACTTAACGCTTTTTTAATAAAGCTCAACCATGGCCACATAAACAAAACATTGTTACTGGTGTTGGAGCAGTTAAGGGTAATAAAAAGGAAATTGCCAAAGATTTTCTAATAGTAAAAGTAGATGCATTAATCACTAAAGCCTAGCAATATGTATCCTAAATAGTTCATGATAGATTTTTTTTGTTTGTTTTTAGAACATTTCTGGAAAATAAGAAAGTGCTTGCAGGCTGAAGAGGTCACACATGTAGTATTTACTTTAAAATCAGAATAACCTTTTCATCTAGATTTTCAACTTAGCCTGCTGAAATAATTTTGGAACAAATCATTTAAGAGTCAGTTTTATTACTATAAGAAGAAAGAACGTTACTGGATAGTGGCTGTTTATCATTGAAATATTTTAGTATTTAGGAGGTTACACATAAACCTAGAAAAAAAAATTGTATACTCTGAGGTAATAATTGGCCTCACTTGTTTTGATTGAGGTCATCCATTTATGMCCATATTATTAAATCCAGTRAACACATTTTAGTTCTTAACTTATTTAATCTTTATTTTGTGTTTATTCTACCTCCTTGAGACTTTCAGTCCTTTGACATTTGTGACACTGTTTCTCCTTCCCAATAACAGAGACAGAAGGGAGAGAGGGCAGTACCTAGCAGCTGTGGTTTGTGGGATGAAATGTAGTCATTGTTGAGGGAAAGTCTCTACATCTTTTCCTAAGTAAGGGATACCCATAAGCTTCAGATTTGTGACACATCAATTTGGGCAGATTAGATGACTTCAAAAACATTTTCAGATTATAAATATTTATTAAAAGACATTTAAATAAGAATAAGTTTCCTTTGGATTTTGCTTTGTAAATTATGGAACAACTCTATTTCCACTTTTAGAAAATCTTACCCWTTCTCTACCCAACCTACTTCACATCCATATTTCCACGAAGTTTTCTCTGATAACTATAACTGACATTCATATTCCTTTTGAATTTTTCTAATTATTGTAATCTTTCCTCAGATGATACTCTTATACTATTTTTCATCATAGTTATTACCTACTTGAAATTGCCAAATAGATTACTCACAAGACAGCTGGAGTGTTGTTTTAAATAGGCAACCCAAAATATCTCTTATAAATAGCTCAGAAATATGCCCTTTTCATTCTCTCCTGTGGGCTCTTTTTTTTTTTTTTTTTTTTAATTTATAAAGAATAGAAGTTTATGTGGCTTACTCCTCTGGAGGCTGGGAATTTCCAGAAGATGATCCCAGTATCTGTTCAGCATCTGGTGGAGGGCCTTCTTGCTGCTTCCTTCCTAGGCACTGCTCTTGTTTTAAATTTCATTCTCCACCAWACTCAGTAACACCGTTGATGTTAAATTAGTCCCAATTTCATCAGAGCTATGTGGGTGTATTTGAATATATATTTTAATAAGTGGAAAGTGTAGGAATGAATCTTCTGGCCCAAAAGTTAAAATCATTTATATCTCTGAAGCATCTCTTAAGGAGAGGTCAAAATTGATTGTGTTTTAGTTTATGGGAATTCTCATCAATTACTTTCAATCCACAACTTTAACTTTGCCCTTAGTAAACAAACCACTGCTCTTTATTTTTCTTGATTTCTTGATACCAGCTTTTAAAAACAAAACAAAAAAATAACACTTCGACTCCCTAAACTGAAGCAAGTGTAAAATAAATTATTTAAAACTTCTAAATAGTTCAAGAAATTTCTTTTGGAATCCATTATCTCTTTAATATTCACAATAAAAATGCAAGTAAATTGGGGCTGGAATTGACTCAGTGGTTGAGCACTCACCTGGCAAATCTGAGGCACTGAGTTTCATCCTCAGCATCACATAAAAATAAAATAAAGGTATATGTCCATCTACAACTAAAAGATATATATTTAAAATTTTAAATGCAACTAAATTGATGCAAGATGCTCATGTAAAAATCAGGATTTAAAGATAGCTTTTCTGTATTGAATTAATGAAATGGAATAGGAATTTCTAGGTTTTCTCATTTGACTAATTAGTTAARGTTATAACTGTAAATGGATGAAATGTATAGGGCCTTGTAATACAAAGAATAAGTTTTTTCCTTCCTTTATTCATTGRTGTATTGAGAATAGTTTATTTATGTTCTGTTTGAATTGGGTATAAAATTCAATCTCTGTTCCTTTTCAAGCCTGACAAACAGGCTCTGAATAAAGAATGAATACCAGCCTTGAATGAACATTTCAGACACTTTTTTTTAAGGGCTAGTTATCAATACCTTTTTCTCATTATTGTAAGGCCAGCTGCTCTGACTTTTTTTTTTTCCTTTAGAGAAAAAAAAAAAAACAACAGCATGTATTGAAGTCATCTTTTTTTAAAGATATTTATAGTTTATTTTCTGTAAATTTGGTAATGATCTTGAATATCTATATAAATGTGATCCTTGTGGGCCATTTGTATATTATATTCAAAATGACCTTTTGATAAATTCCTTATTTATCCATCCTGGCTTTAGGCTAGATTTTTCRATACAACTCTTAATAAAGACACAGATGTCTTCAGGAGTAAT